CACACACATCTACACACACACATCCACACACACACATACATCCACACACACACATCCACACACACACATACACACACACACATCTACACACACGCGTTTGCCACCCAGAGGAATCAATGACCCTCCGGCCAGTCACTGTTTTTTGGGGATGGGCTGCTTAACCATGTCGGTGTTCACCCTGATCCTCTCTGAATTTCACGTCTGCGAGGTTTTCCCTTCAGATCTCCAAAGTTGGGGGAGGGGTGGGGTTTTATTGGGTTCGTACAGTGTCACACACGAGTTCAGGTTAGGCAGGGGTGTGAAGGGAGCTGCAACCCTTGGCTTACCTTCCACCAGGGAGGTGAGTAAAGTGACATTTGCGGCCTTACGCCTGCCGGCTGGTAAATTCAAACCGATTTTTTCTAGTCTTTCTCTCAAAGATCTCCCCCCGTTTTTCGATTTGGCTCTAGAATTGCAAAGAAAGTAACATGGTGATTGACCCCGCAGTGTTCCTGGAAAACGTCTGTGCAGTCAGTGGAGTCTGGAGGGGGTTTCACTCGACTTTGGGTGTGTTGGTTTCTGCTCGGATTTGCAGAGATTTGCTTAATTTCTCACAGGGGTGGTAGTGGGGATGGAGCCACTTTTCCCTGTTTTATCCAGGGAAATCAAATAATGCCAGATAGCAATAATTAATGGACAGGCTTCTGATCCAGAAAGCAAATGGGTTCCTACTGTGTGACACTAACTCGTATTGAGATGGAGTAAGAAGATGGACAGAAAGGTAGAGGAGAAAAATTAAATCCTCGGTTAATCCAGGAAAGAGCTGACATGGGAAGAAGAAAGAGGCGAAGAAAAAAAATAAAATAAACAAACAAACAAATCTGAAAGGCTCGAAAGGAGAATGTGTGTGCCTGTGGATAAATGGAAAGGAAGGAAAATATTTATTAAACCATTTGGTGCATGTGTGTGTGAGGGTGCTGTGCCGAAGGGCGACGCTGAGAGGAAGAGCTCACCTGAAGGCAGGGCTCGTTATACAGAGGGGATTGATTGCCTGAAGGAAGATTTGAATATCTGTCGGAGGTTACTGATAAGGACAATAAAAGGATGAGTGAGCTATAGGTGGGAAATAGAGAGTTATTGTTCGGAAGCCTATATATATGTAAACCCCCAGGGATGAAATCTTGCCACCTGCGAAATCAAGGGAGAGTTTTGGCACTCCGATCGAAGTCCATCCCAATTGTCTCTTAGTTCTTTCATCAAATTTGTTTAAGAATTAGCAGTCACATTTAGCGAGAGGAAACCAGAGACGACAGAGAAGCCAGACTGGCTTTCCACTATTTTTTATCAAAGTAAATAGGGTTAGATGGCAGAGCTGCAGGAGAGCAGCTTTCTGTACTTCATCTGCTCTGAACCAAAAGCTTGTCTAAAATTTAGATTCAAGATAGGAACTGAAGTCAGCAGCAGCCAATGATTATGTCTTGGGTCACCTCCAGAAATCCACTGAAGTTCAATAATTATGTTTCTTTACCTTGGTAATTATATTTTCTACAGTGTATCTCTCAGATATTCTCCCTGCTCCATTTGTAGCTGTACAGAGGCAGGTTAGCATGTGTAAGTAAAAATCTCTGCTGCCCTTGCTGGCAAGGATCGCAGCTAAACATTGATTACAGGCATACACGTGGAACAGCATCTATTTTGGGAGACCCTAATTCTCACATATATTTCTAGGTGCCTGGCTGCATGAAGCAGGACTTTCCCTCTCCCCTCCAGACAGGAAGCTGGAACCCCTGACATCATCACATGATTTTTTTTCATTGAACTAGAAAATAAATAAATGAAACCCCCAATAACCTACTTTATTCTAAAACATCTGAGAGTCAACGTTGCCCAGTTGCTGCTACTGGAGCTGGCAAAGTATTTCCTCCTCTAAGATTAGAAACTTTTATACACGATCCGAAATTTATTCAGGAGCAGTTTTTACGCATTTGTTCCTGTCTCGAAGCAATGCTTTCTTTTCCAGACTGGCACACACCTGACACGTAGAAAAGAACTCTTATCTACTCTCAGCTTCTCATTAGCTTTAATGTCATACTATACCTTGAGTTCTTCCCTGTTCTGACCAGAGGTGGAGCAGTAGCTCACTTTTCTTACAAGCCATGAGGACAATTTACAGTCCTTCAGTTACTGTCAAGAAGATAAAGACCTTTCTCCTGTTAGTTCTTCCGCCTGGCAACCTCGGAGCTTAAATTCTTGTTGCTGGTACCTAAATGCACAATCTCTCTTGTTATGATGCAGAGGCAACCACCTCAGAATCACAAAATCACAGAATCTTAGGGGTTGGAAGGGACCTCGAAAGATCATCCAGTCCAACCCCCCGGCCAGAGCAGGATCACCCAGAGCACATCACACAGGAACGTGTCCAGGTGGGTTTTTAATGTCTCCAGTGAGGGAGACTCCGCAACTTCTCTGGGCAGCCTGTCCCAGTGCTCATTCATTCTCCTCGGTACCAATAATGCCAAACATTTTAAGGTCTTTGGCAAAATCCAGTGGGACATTAGCAGGTGATTTGCACCCACGTTTAACAGCAAAGACCTCCAGACCAACCGTCAGTAATTCTTCTAGCAACCATCTCTAGATGAAGCACTAAGTTTCTGACTTTCAAAGCTATCTGTTGACGGCTTTTCTTTAGTCAGGTACTTACCTACCTTACAGGTTACCTATTAATCCCCTGCTGATTTTAATAATGTGTGACACCACGTCAATCACTTTA